TATGGCTGAGTGTGTAAAAGGCCTTGGGACCAGTTTCCAGCACTGAAGGAAATAAAGTAAGTCTGGTAAATGTTATTTCTGCCTCACAAAATAAAACCAGCCAGGTGCTCAGACAAGTGCACTGATTTGCCTTCAGTTCCAAGGAGCCTGGCCTGGAGAGTTGAGCTACCTCAGCTTGGAGAGTTCAGTCCTGGCACATTCCAGAAGAAATGTTTGACTCCTGATAGGCTCTGGGGACACTTTGTCTAAGGCCTGGGAAGTTGCAGAGAGGAGTCTGTACAGCTGGGGCTGAAGTTCACTCGATGCAGTTTAGACCAGCAATGGGGTTTAGGCAAGTGGCTGGGATTGCCTGAGTCTGGCCTTGGAGGGTGTGGAGACCGAGGTCAGCCGTGCCAGTGCTCCACGTCCAGGGCACCCACAGATCCCTGGACACTGAGGCCCTGTGAGCTTTCCTCACATTGTGGCTGGGAGTCCTGACTGCTGTCTGGCAGATGTCCTCTGAGGACAGCTGGGCGTGCGTGCCCCACCCCAGGGCTCTGCCTGCCCCTCCAACTGCTGCTGACTCTCCTGTGTCTGTCCAGCCTGGGCTGTGAGTCCAGCAGCTTTTCTGCTTCTGTGAGTCCTTCTAGGAACTCATGGCTCCTCAGTGCCTTGGGGACCTGCACCATCATCTGTCACCCAGACAGCAGCAGTGCTAATTCTTAAGAGGAGCCTATTTACACCTGTCCTCTGAGACAGGGCATCCTGATGTCTGCCTGTGGGTGTCAGCAGCCCAGTTACCACTGATGGGTCCTTTTTTCGGGGGGGGGTATTTTTGAGTCAGGGTCTCCCTGTAGCCCTAACTGACCTGAAACTCGCTGTGTAGACCAGGCTACCCTCAAACACAGAGATTCTCCTGCCTCTGCCTCCCAAGTGTTGGGATTAAAGGCATGTGCACCACTCTTGGCCCACCAATGGGTCTTTATGTGATAAAGGGTCAGCTGTCACTTGCTGACCCTCAACACACCTCTTCCTTCTGTCCTTCCTCCCTCCCTCCCTTTCTCTTCCTCATCCTCCTTTTCCTCCTCCTCCTCTACCTCTTTCTTCTTTACCCGACTCTGTCTCTCTGTCTTGTCCGTGTTTCCTTTTGTTTTTATGATACAAGGTATCCTCATTTCATAGTCTAAGGAGATGAGAACCTTGTTACATAGCCCAGGCTAGCCTCAGACTCATCGTCCTCTGGTCTCAAACTCTGAAGAGCTGAAATTACAGGGCTGTGCCACTGCTCTCGGCTCAGCACAACCCTTTTCTTACAATATTTGAGTCTTCCGTTCAAGAAGGATGAGGCAGTGGGTAAAGGTTGACTGTAGACTGTTGTCGGAGGACCCAGCACAAACAGGGATCTGATTGAACCAGGAAACTGACCAGGCAACTGCAAGACTGCTTTATTGTATACCCATCAACTCATTGGGAGCAGGACTGGAACTGTCTCTGCTAGCGTGCCACTGCACAGAGCTGAAAGGGTTGTGGGGTCACTGGCACTGCAAAGACACCATAGTCACTGGGCCTGGGATGTCCAGCAATGGGGTTTAGGCAAGTGGCTGGGATTGCCTGAGTCTGGCCTTGGAGGGTGTGGAGACCGAGGTCGGCCGTGCCAGTGCTCCACGTCTAGGGCACCCACAGATCCCTGGACACTGAGGCCCTGTGAGCTTTCCTCACATTGTGGCTGGGAGTCCTGACTGCTGTCTGGCAGATGTCGTCTGAGGACAGCTGGGCGTGCGTGCCCCACCCCAGGGCTCTGCCTGCCCCTCCAACTGCTGCTGACTCTCCCGTGTCTGTCCAGCCTGGGCTGTGAGTCCAGCAGCTTTTCTGCTTCTGCGAATCCTTCTAGGAACTCATGGCTCCTCAGTGCCTTGGGGACCTGCACCATCATCTGTCACCCAGACAGCAGCAGTGCTAATTCTTAAGAGGAGCCTATTTACACCTGTCCTCTGAGACAGGGCATCCTGATGTCTGCCTGTGGGTGTCAGCAGCCCAGTCTCCATTGTTAGGCCTTTATGTGACAAACTGTCAGCCATCACGTGCTGAACGTCAGTACATCTTTGTTTCATTTTTCTTTTTCTTTCCTTACTTTCTTAGCTTCTCTCTCTCTTTCACTTACCCAATCTTTATTTTTATGGTACAGGGTCTTTTCATTATGGAGTGGGAGCAGACTGGGACTTTGTTACATAGCCCAGGGTAGTCTCAGATCTGCCATTCTCTTGATTAAGACTCCAGAGTGCTAAAAGTTCTGGGTTGTGTACCTGCTCATGGCTCAGCCTTTCCCTCACGATTCAAGTTTTCTGTGTAGGAGGGTTGAGGCAAGTGCTAAGTACAGATTCTAGACTCTTGCCTGAGGACCAAGCAGAGACAAGTATTGGAGTTGGAGCAGAAAACCAAATGGCAGTGGCAGGGTTGGTTTATTGTACATCAATCAGCCTGAGCAGAAAATGGTGTCTCTGCTAGCGTGCCACGGCACAGAGCTGGTAAGGGGACGGGACAAGCAGAAACATAAAGACTCCCCGGTCACTGGGCCGGGGCTGTCCAGGGGGCACCGAGAAGGTAAATCTCTGCAGGAGGCAGGTGAAGAAGAGGAAGAGCTCCATGCGGGCCAGCGGCTCCCCGAGGCATGCGCGGCGGCCTGTGGGTGGGAGTGGGGTTCTGTAAGTTTGGGACTTGGCTTTACCTTCCAAGCCACTGTGGGAAGGGGGCAGGAACCAGCTCCTCCCTGCACACACCGACTGAGAACGGCATGAAGGCCTCAGGCTTCACAAAGCGGCCCTGGGCGTCCAGGAAGTGTTTTGGATGGAATTGGAGGGGTTTCTCCCAGGTGTTCTCATCCTTCAGCACTGAAGTCAGGTTGGCAATGAGTGTCATGCCCTGCATAAAACGCATGGTGTGAACATGGACTGCGATGGGGACACCAAGACCCTGGCCACTAAGCACAGCCTCTACCTGCACACACCTGGACCCTTTAATGCAACCTCAGTCCAGAACCTCTCAGCACCATCACTGATGCCATAGAAGGGCCCTGTTGTAAGTCTCCTATGTATGCCCAACCACTTGTCCCTGTGTGCAGTGGTTCCTAAAGTCCTCTGTAGCCCATTTTAATTTGTCATCCCACTTCCTTGGAGACTTTGTGGGAAATGGCTGGGATTCACACACACCTGATTCAGTCGTGTCAGTCAGCTGGAGATCCAGGATATAGCACACTTGGTCTTTCCTATGCTTGTTTGGAAGTGGTCATGCCTACCTTGGGGAGGAGGAAGCCCTGTACTTCAACGTCATGGGATATCTTGTGTGGCACATTCATTGGGACAATGTCTGCAAATCGCTGCACCTCGTGAACCACAGCATTGGTGAAGGGCATTCGGGACTGGTCTGCCATCTCTGGATGCCGTGCCTGCCCAATGACTTCATCGATCTCCTGTTGGACTTGGCCTGGAGGGACAGAAAACTGTCAGCCTTTGCTCCCAGGAGACTGCATCTTGACTCTGACCTACCTGTGTGTTAAGGGCTGGGTCCACCTGAGAAAGTGTCTTAGTTTGTTTCTTCATTGCTGTGACAAAACACTCTGACCACTACCAACTTGGGGGGGGGGGAAAGGGGTTAT